AAGACCCATTGGCTCCTAGGCTTTTTGAAGACATACTTGAAGAGATAGAACAAATTGGATTGTTCAAATATGGAGGGTTACCCCACTGGGGAAAAAACAGAAACATAGGGTTTGTGGAAGCAATCCAGAAGTATCAAAATGCAGACAAATTTTTGAAGGTTAAAGAGGTGTATGATCCACGAGGACTTTTCTCCAGTCAGTGGACGGACCAAGTGCTTGGACTTAAAGAAGGGTTGACAATATCGAAGGATGGGTGTGCATTGGAAGGGTTGTGTATATGCTCACAAGATAGTCACTGTGCACCCGACAAAGGCTACTTTTGCAGACCAGGCAGAATTTATAAGGAAGCAAGGGTTTGTACTTTGTGCACCTGATGTTCAGAATACCAAAGGAGAAAATGATGAGAAGAACGAGCTGTGAAGTTATGACCTTTTGTGGCAGATGTTCTTCTTTGTTGCTTTTTTTTTTTTATAGTATTTCTTTTAGCAAAAATATTCTCAATTGTCAAAAAAGTGAGTATATTTTTGAGGTAAAATTGTTTTGAGTGTCATGGGATTTATTATGTTATAATTTGCTCTATTTGTTGGAATTATTTATAATTCTTATGTGCTACACTCAATTGTGTTTTTATTATTTTAATAAAATTTAGATAAGTCATTGTATATATGCCGGTGCATAATCTTAACGTGCTTCATCAAATGATTTTTTTAGTTTGACTTAGATGTTCATAACGCTGATTAGTATTAATAACGTAGGCCTGACTTATCTATCTATCTATATATATTCTAAAGTTAAACCAAAGCAAACTCTCTTTATGTTCACACTTGAAATCCTCTAAAACGCTGAGGTGTCAAATTCTAATTCATGCTCAGCTGTGTGCTCACACTTGTGTTCACACTTGCATTAACATTTAAAAAAAATAAAATAAAAAATCGTAATAATGACTTTTTATGAAAAAATAAAAAATCAAAATGGATGATTAATGACCCATCATCATTAATTGTTGTATGAAATGAAAGGTTTTTAAAAATTGCATTGGAAGATTAAAAGTTTTTGCAAAAATTTATTGAACCTTATTGGAAGCTGAAAAGTTTTTTTAAATTGAACCTTAGTGGAAGCAGAAAAGTTTTTTTAAATATTTAATGTGCAAGCCAAATTTAATGGTGTATAAATAGAAGACATATGGGATGGGGGAGTTGTTCTTTGGGAAATCGTCTGTGCTCATATTTTTCATCTCCACTACTTTCTTCATCTTCTCAACCTATTCTTCTACGTTATCTATTATTATATCGTTATTTATGTACTCGAAATATGATTTTATAAAGGATCTTAATCCATCTAAGGAGGGATGGAGGATTAAGGTTAGGGTGGTTAGGACTTGGAATGTTCCTAATTTTCAGAATAAAGGTTTCGACGATAACATGGAGATGATTCTTTTGGATGAACATATAATAGTTTTTCTCTTACCATTTGCAATTCTATTGTGATATGCTTTTTTTAACTATTATATGTATGCGTTTTGTAGGGTGGAAGAATTTATGCTATTGTCAAGTTGTTCTTCTATTAGATGAACATGTAATATTTTTTGTTTTTTGTTTTTTTTTGCAGCTCTGTTGTAGAGCAATGTCGACGAGATGTTTTAGAATCACTAAAATATGTACTTCTGTACTTCCTCGGACGAAGGTATGACATTCTTCTCTATATGTTTTTTCTTCTACAAGTATTTTCTCCATAATTCTTTTCATTTTTTGAATATTATAAAATAAATAAATTGCACAATTGAGTTGATATTGTTCTAGAAAAGTATCTTTTGGCATGATATATTATATAAAAGTAAATTTTTTAATATATACAATGATTTCCCACAACCACTACGAAATATGGATCACAAGAAAGAGTGTACTTTTTGGGAGCGGTATATAGATCAAGTACAAATTTTCTAGGCAAATAATTAATCTTATCAATGAGAAAAAAGTGAAAAAGGCATAATAGTGGAAAATTAAAAGATTAAGGCTTTATAACAGTGAAAGCAAACAATCTACTATAAAATCAACATCATCAATGAAATTAGGGTTAAGAAGAAGAAGAACGGTTTGTGAGTATATTAGATGGAAGAAGAAGATATGAGTTACCCTCTTTTAGGGCCTGTTTGGTGTGACGTATAAGGCATGATAGTATAAGCTTATACTATACGTTATGACATTTTCAGTTGTTTGGTGTGACCATCGTATAGTATAAGCTTATACAGCATAATCCCTTAATACATCAAAACGATGTATAACTTAATCCGGCCTAAGGGTGAGGGATAAGGCCTGATAAGAGATTGATGTATTAACATCGTTGACCAATGTAATTCTCAAAAAATAATATATTATTTTAATATTAATCTATTAAAATAAAAATTTATTTTTCAATATATTAATTTTTAAAATACTAAATATTTTTATTTTTATAAATATTAATTTATATTTTGGACACACTGATCAATAAAATTTTCTAATAATTAATATCATATGACATTTTTTGAAGAATTATATAAATTATTTATTAAAGGATATTTTTATTAATTTTTTATCATATATAGTATTATACAATGCATTACCAAATACTAGATGATATTATCTTATACAATATATTATTTTATACAATACCGTGCCAAACGCTGGATAGTATTAAAATTCAATCAGGTCTTATACAATCAGGCCTTATACTATCAGGTCTTATACTATCAGGTCTTATCCTATACTATGCACCAAACATGCCCTTAGATTTTTAACTTTGCAGCTTCTTATTTTATTGGTGGCTGTTATAATTAGCAATAAGTTGTATGCATTTTTCTTTTTTTTTAGCCATCCTCATTTTAACATAGTCTACTATGACGTATTTTTTTATTTTCATAACTCATCGAGTAGATAACTATATTTGATTTGTATAATATTGATCACTCAGGATAGCAGATTTTTGTTTATGGTTGATATTTGCAAAGTTCTGTGTCAATGTTGTAATTTTTCCACTTGAAATATAGAACAAGATAGTAACACAGATTTTTGTAAGTATAAGGTTTGCAGTGTAATTAACCAACCACGACGGACGAAAAATATTTTAATCTTTTTTCTCCGTGCATCGCACGGATAATACACTAGTAAGTTTATGATAGAAAAATGGTAATGGTGTTAATAATTATAGCTATGACTTGTCTGAATTTATTTATATAACTAAAAACGATGGCTGCACAGCTTGCCCCATAATATTTGTGAACAAAAAATGGAATGGACTGTTGAGGAAGCCCTGTCCTTCCTTTTTGCATAACTGTCTAAGGACACGTTTGGATGAGTTTTTTTTCAGAAGTTGCTTTTTTTTTATAAAAAAAGCAATTTTCATTTTTAGTCCGTTTGGATGTCTACTTTTAAAAAAAGCAGAAGTCACAAAAAAAGTCAAAAACTTATTTTTTTTCTGAAGCTAAAAATTTTAACTTCTAAAAAAAACAAAAGTCAAAAGTCAAATTTTTTTTTCAAAATCTAAATATTTTTATAAAAATATAAATAGCTTTAACTTTTGTAAAAAGGACTTCTAAAATATGGAAGAGATAAAAGTTACTTTTTTCAAAAGTGCAAACAAACGGGCTCTAAATCGCTCGGCGGAAATTTCTTGAATTCTATGTCCACAATTCAGATTTCGTATAATCTCATTAATTTAATTTTTTTTCACTATTTCAATTAGGGGTGTTCGGGTCTGAATAGAATCGATTTTGGAAGAAAAAATTATCTGATGTAATTCCTTCGGTTTGGATTTTTTTCAAATTCGATCCAATCCAATTCAATTTTTTTGGGTTTGGATTAGATCGGTTTTTGATTTTTTTTTTTAAATCTAAAATTTGTTTGATGAATATTGTGCAAATAACATACTTTTTATATGTATCAGTAAAGGATAATCTAATTTTTTTTGGCAATAAAATATAAAGCTCTACATTGACGAAATTTTGCTGATAGGGTGTAGCTAAGTTTTTTTCTTAGGTTTAGCTGATAGTTTAATGGGTCTTGGATTTAGAATTTTTTTGCTATACTAGAGAAAAATCCAAGTAAGTAGAGAAAAATTAATATATTAGATCATTTTAGATTGGATTGATTTTCACTAACCAAATTGAAAACTGATCCAATCCAATTAAAATTTACAAAAAAAATTATTTTATTTTTGATTTTTAAGTTATTGATTAATTCAATTATCAAATTTTTAATTCGATCTTGAATCGATTTAGATAGATTCATCAACAGCCTAGTCTTAATATTAAAATGGGTTTGTCTACTCTCATGTTGGAGGAGAGAACATATCTCATGCTAAGACACAAAATGATGGGACCCACCACTAAAAAAAAGAAAAAGAAAAGAAAAGAAAATAGTAGCACATTTATCGAAGTGTCTATGACATAAGATAGTAGTCTTCTACAACATGAGACTCCTATTTTCCTATTAAAATTTATGGATTGTCAATAGTCAAAGGTTGTGAAAGAAAGAGATTGTACAACACCCAATCAAATGGGATTACGTTATCTCCTTGAACTAAGTAGTCCACATGTGACATGTGTTGTTTATTTCGTGTAGTTGTTCTGGATGACCGTGGGTAAGTATGAAATTTTCACCTTTGACCAAAAAACTATTATTCCTGTCTATGAGATATAAAATGAGTAATGCGGGCTCCCTTCACACCAATTCCTATTAATTAAATATCAAATTTAATGGTATTTAATTAATCCATAATTTTATATATTTGACCGAGGACTTAATTTGCTGTAAGGATTGTATCTTAGTACAAGTGGTTTTTATTAATTAAACAAGCAATATTTATTTAGTAAAAAAAGATAACGTGCGGACGTTGAGTCTTATTGTCTTTTGCGTATACTTGTTGTAAAACTAATGTTATAGGCATTCATTTAATCATGATCTTAGCCAATGGCTATATGCGCATCCGTTCTTAGTCAAATCTTTTTTCATCAAGCCACCAAGGTCGACCATATCCCTCTCCCTCTATAAATAGCAGCACAATTACTTCAAGACTCGAGGAGATTAAAAACAAAAAGTCAAATATGAGAATGCTATGCTCTAAAAAGATGAGAGAACAAGTAGTATTCAAATCCACTCTCATCTTCCTCTTCATCTATCGTGTGATTTCAACTCCTCCCGAGGATCCGATTAACTGTTCTTCTAAGAATACAAACTGCACTATCACGAACACGTATGGAGTCTTTCCTGACCGAAGTATTTGCCAGGCTGGTGAGGTTATGTACCCAACCACAGAGGAAGAGCTCATATCCATGGTTGCATCAGCTTCTAAAAACAACACAAAAATGAAAGCTGCAACACGCTTCTCTCACAGCATCCCTAAGCTTGTTTGCCCTGATGGCCAAAACGGGTTGCTGATAAGCACCAAAAATCTCAACCAGATATTGAAAACTGATGCGGCAGCAATGACTATGACGGTGGAGAGTGGTGTAACACTGAGGCAGTTCATCAGTGAAGCTGCTAAGGCTGGATTTGCGTTGCCATATACACCTTATTGGTGGGGTATAACCATTGGTGGCCTTATGGCCACAGGTGCTCATGGAAGTACATTGTGGGGCAAGGGAAGTGCTGTTCACGAGTATGTTGTGGAGCTTCGAATTGTTAGCCCCGCAGGACCTGAAGATGGTTATGCTAAGGTTCGGGATCTTAACGAATCTGACGAAGATCTTAATGCAGCCAGAGTTTCCTTAGGTGTTCTTGGAGTTATTTCTCAGGTATTTTATATTCTCCACACCTTCTCTATCTCTGGTATTAAGCACAAAAAGGTCGAGATTGTTAGACAAATCACATAACACAACACAATCATGCAATATAATTTAAGGAATAGCATATAATCTTGGTATAAAATAACGTTCCATTAAAATATACATTCTAGATCTTTCAAGCTAATTGTGTTATGGGTTAGTAGAGAGCTTAAAATTGATTATGTAATTGTATCTTGAATGAATACAACATGAAAAAAGACAAGGATTATTCACCCCACACACACGTAGATATCAATCTACCAAAATAATATTGTAATTGTATCTTGAATTAATGCAACATATATAAAGACAAGGATTATTCACCACCCACACACACACACTCTGCCAAAATAATATTGTAACTGTATTTTGAATTAATGCAACATAAATAAAGACAAGGATTATTCACCACCCACACCCACACACTCTACCAAAATAATATTGTAATTGTGTCTTGAATTAATGCAACATAAATAAAGACAAGGATTATTCACCACACTCTACCAAAATAATATTGTAGTTGTATATTTAATTAATGCAACATAAATAAAGACAAGGATTATTCACCACAAAAAAAGAAAATAAAAGACAAGGGCCAGTTTGCTAGTCTAATTTTGTTTTGATAGAAGAAAATATTTTTATAATTCCAGATCGAGAGTGATGGCATGTAAAATCCTTTAGGTAGTGTTTGGTTGAGGTGAAATTTTTTAATACTAGGGAAATGTAAATACTAGGGATCTGCAGGGAAAGTGAGTTAGATAGGAAAGTTTTAAAAAAGTTGTTTGATTGGGCAAAATTTTATCAAGAAAATTGAATGAAATTTCTGTAATGTGTGTTTGGTTGAAGATAAAATATTGATGAAAAAAGTTAATCAAATTACAAAATTATCCTTATAAAAACATCTTGGTTTTATTGCAACCTTCGTGTCTTGTCTTCCTTATTACAACCCAGAACTTGAATCAAGAAAGTGTGTCTGAATAATCAAAGGCTGTCAGCATATTCACTTGAAGATTATTAAGTTGTTCACAAACATGATTGGGTCCCTTGACTGCAATGCTTGCCTCAAATCATTCCTCAAGTTGAAAACAGTAACCATCCAAGTGGTTCTGTCTTAGCTCCCTCAATGAAGATCTCATTTCACAAAGTGAATAAACATAAGGCCACATCTCTGTTCTCCTTTGCTTCCATAAATATACAATTTCTTCGATGTCTCGTTTGCTTCCTTTTAAGAAGCTGACAAACATCCTCAGATTCTGCTTGCAAGGAGGGTAAATTTGTCATATTTTTCATCCCAAAAAAGAGTTGTCCGGTATTCACAACAATACCACCATCCAAAAGGGCTTCTTCAACAGTGCAAAACTCTAATTTTTACACGCGGATGTCGATTGTTAGGGAAGCTACTTTGATGGACAAATTTCAGCTTATCCCTCAACCAAACGTGGAGAAATGAGATATCCATATACACTTTGCTGGGATAATCTCCAGAAGGCCCGAACCAAACGCTACCTTATAAAATTGTAACGTCAATATTCAAATCCCTAACATTGTCCTGCAGCCCACTACCGATCAACGACAGCTGCCTTATTAAAGTCTAATTGATATGTTTGGTTATCATTTTTTGACAGGTTACCCTGAAATTAGAACCACTCTTCAAGCGATCTCTTACATATTTGAAGAAAAATGATTCAGATTTAGGAGATGAATTGATTACTTTTGGAAGAAAGCATGAGTTTGCTGATGTAACATGGTACCCAAGTCAAAAAAAGGCCGTGTATAGAATTGATGACCGTGTCTCCCTAAATAAATCTGGCAATGGCTTATATGATTTCATCCCATTTCGCACTACACTCTCGGCCGAATTGGCAGTTGTAAGAGCCACAGGTTGGTTAGCTTCCTTTACATATTGAAAATGGAATATCAACCCCTCCCAAAAAAGGACAACCATCTATAGATATCGTTTAATTTAACTTGTATTGTCATCTGCTTTATTCTATAATACCATGCGCAAATAAGACCACTCATTGAAGTTACAAAGTTTTCTTAAAGTTAAATTTGTAGATAGTAGAGTAGAAAATCACTCTGTTTTAAATAGTTTAACTTTCTATATTTTCTTATATTAGAGGAGCTTCAAGAAGCAACACACGATGCTAATGGAAAGTGCATTGGTGCAAGGTTGATAACAGCGACACTGGCAGGCACTGGTTACGGATTGACTAACGATGGTACTCATTTTTTTATTTTTTTTACGCATTGTAAAATCATTTTACTAGTTTATTTGTTCTCTTTGTCTGTAAAACAAAAGGGTAAATTTTGACTTTGAAATAAGAAAACTTTCGATTTCTAATATAAAAATATTAACTTCGTTGACAAATGATAGGATTCTTTCTTGGATACCCTATTGTTGGATTTAACAACCGCATGCAGTCATCGGGGACATGCTTGGACAGTTTAAATGATGCAAAGATCACAGCATGTCCATGGGACTCAAGAATCAAGGGAGAATTCTTTCATCAAACTGCATTTAGCATTCCCTTGTCTGTAGTAAAGAACTTCATTGAAGATGTGCAAAAGCTTGTGGAGTTGGAGCCAGAGGCACTGTGTGGCTTAGAACTATATGATGGAATCCTTATGCGCTATGTTACGGCTTCCAAAGCATACCTTGGAAAACAAGAAGATGCTGTGGATTTTGACATCTCATACTATCGCAGTAAAGACCCATTGGCTCCTAGGCTTTTTGAAGACATACTTGAAGAGATAGAACAAATTGGATTGTTCAAATATGGAGGGTTACCCCACTGGGGAAAAAATAGAAACATAGGGTTTCTGGAAGCAATCCAGAAATATCAAAATGCAGACAAATTTTTGAAGGTTAAAGAGGTGTATGATCCACGAGGACTTTTCTCCAGTCAGTGGACGGACCAAGTGCTTGGACTTAAAGAAGGGTTGACAATATTGAAGGACGGGTGTGCATTGGAAGGGTTGTGTATATGCTCGCAAGATAGTCACTGTGCACCAAACAAAGGTTACTTTTGCAGACCAGGCAGAATTTATAAGGAAGCAAGGGTTTGTACACGTGATGTTCAGAATACCAAAGGAGAAAATGATGAGAAGGACGAGCTGTGAAGTTATGACCTTTAGTGGCAGATGTTCTTCAATTGTTACTTAACAAATAACAAGCAATATGTTTCTTCTGAAAAAAAAATAAACTTCACAATTCTCAAAAAAGAATTGATTATCTTTTTTGAGATAGAATTGTTTTCAATGTCATGTAATTTGTTGTGTTATAATTTGCTCTGTTTCAATATTAAAATTTATGGATTGTCAGTCATCAAAGGTTGTGACAGAATGATATTGGACAACACCTGATCAAATGGTTTTGTTTTTAAAGTTGAAAAATGGGGTTTATTTATTTTGAGATCATGTTATCCCCCGCGTACTCAGTAATCCACAGGTGACTAGGTGAGGACGTACGGTTCATTTCGTGTCCTTGTTCTTGATGACAATTACATAAGTATTAAATCCGTGAAGCCAAAAACAAATAAACCGTGAAGCCATTTCATCTCGTTCCTAACTAAAACTATCAAATTAGTAAGGGAGACAGTTAAAACTCGTCATGCACAAGACTACAAACCAGAGGCACGCCGAGAATTCTAATGGATCAACAAGAATTAGCTTAAAATGATGAAATGAACATGAATAATTTTATGCTATGGAACTAAGCATTGTGCAGGTAAAATGATGCACAACTAAGGCAATGAGTGCATAGAGTAGTGCCCATTACCTCTGCTACTGAAACACTGATCGGCTACGGCAGCTCTACAATGGAAATACAAGTTTGTTTGTTTAACTAACTGCAGCATCCTGCAAGCCTATCAAGCTAATTTGAAATTCAACCATGTAGAGCTGCAAGAATTTCAAGATGTCAAACAACATAATACCAGCTGAATGGCTTTACTTTGCTGTGTTATATGCATATTTTATTTCTGAACTGATCAAATGAAGGACTGAGTCAATTTCAGGATTTTATGGCGAACTGATCAAATGATTTATTTAGAAATATATGACTGCCAAATGTATTTGTCAACAGATGTTCCAAATCTGCGTGCATTTTTTGTTAAAGGCAAGAATATAACAAGAAATCCGATCTCAGAGAAAAACATGAATAAAACAGACAGACAAGGAATATGGATTAGCTTGGAAATTCCAATGTTAACACGTACTCTAGTTCCATATAGAGACACACATCAACATAGCAGTTCAGTGGAATCAACCTAACAATTAAAATTATGTCCCAAATATAACAGAACAATAACCAATAAGGCAAGCATGTAAATTAAACTACGAAATTCTGTCATTTTCGGTTAATTTATCAATAAGCAATTTAAATATGCCATTATATATAAAATTAACAGAAAATCCAAAGCAAAAATTAAAAAAAAAAAAAAAAAAAAACATATTTCTCATATTAACAATGAAAAAAAAACATATTTCTCATATTAACAATGAAAAAAAAAAACTGTTGTAATGTAAAATAACAAGACTGAAAATCAAATGGTATGTGAAAGCTCGCAAAGACGTTTCTCCAAGTCATCCAATTTAGCACCCCAGTGGTTATTTATGCAAAGTGGGCGAACATTGCTGTAGTCCGCAGCACTTTCTTCCATGCGACTGACCGCAGAGGATGATCCCCTCCGTTGCTCCTGCTTATTCTTCTTCTTCTTATGAGCACTTGCTCTCTGCAACGCCCAAAGTACATCTGACCCTCTAATCTGCGCTTCCCTGCCTTCTTGCTTTTGTTGTTGTTGTTGTTGTTTTGGAATTGGAAGTGGATTGGATTGGAGAGTGCCAAGGAGGGTGTGACCTAACTCCTCGGCTTGTTGGGTGGTGGAGACGTCGGGGAGGGGCCGCCGTGGGAGAGACGTGGCTGAGACGGAGGGAACAACAGGCTTGTTAAACGGCGTGGCGTGTTTTGAGATGACAAGGTTGCAAGGCCTCGTTGGACCGACGAACAAACACCAACACTGCATCTTTAATCCTTATCTTGTGTTCTCTTCTACGCTTCAACAACCTTTGCACCTTTTTTTTTTTTTGGTTCAAATATTAAATTTCAATTATTATATAATTTATTCTTTTTAATTTTTTTTAAATATTGCTATCATTAAATGGACGTTATTGACATTTAGCCATTACAACATCCTCACGCAAACAATTGCGAATAACGTATGGCGTTTAGTATATAAGGGGGGGCCTGTATCATTTTGTTGGGTGCGAATGAATTCTCAATTGCTTTCTTAACAATGTATTGGGTTGGGCCGCAGCATTTGTGGTCTACAATATGGTAATTGTCTATTCATGTCAAGTCCTTAATAAGAGTCCATAAAACTTTAGGAGGAAAATATTTGTCATTTTTTTTTTTTGGTTAACAAATATTTGTCATTTTAAATTATATAATTTTGTGTTGTTTTTAATGAAATTATGTTGTTTTGATGTGTTTTTAATATATTTTTTAAATCAAGAAGAAAAAAAGAAAGTGAAGGAGAGAGAATATAAAAACACACCAAAACGACATAGTTTCATTAAAAATGAAATAAAAATGTGTCATTTAAAATGACAAACACTTTTACAAAAAAACACATTCGTTTTGATTTCAAGAAAATTGAAACACAGTGATTTTTCACTTTTCATACTCATTTTTATGAGTAAAGTATCTTTTGGATTCTTAACAAAAATTACGAGACCTATTTTAACTCTCTAGGACAAAAAAGTCAACTTGTGGTTCATCTGAAATTCAAAATAGATTCAATTAATCTTTTGTCTATTTTGAATTTCAGAAAGATCAAGTGTCAAACGTCTTTTTAAGAGATTAAATGGAGCCCCCGTACTTTACACTTTTTATATTACAAAGTTATAAATTTTAGAATAAAATAGTTCTCAATAAAAATTATGGACTTAATTTTAATCTTATAGCCTGTTATGTATTGACGATGTGAAATTATGAGGGTGGTGTGAGTAACGGTGAGTAGTGTACTATAATTTTGATGGTTTGAAATTTTCCAAACTCAAGCCTACGTTTATTCCATCCAATATACTCCCAATCCCCATACACTTCCATCCCCAATATTCTTTTTAAAAAAAAAAAATCATAAAACCATTTTTAAATTACTTCACTGAATAAAAATATTAAAAACTTATTTAATAAATTTTATTTTAGGAATAAGTTTAAAAAACTTGAAGGCATATTCTCTTTCTATTTTAAAGTTTTGTCATCCTTTACGACAAGAATCTATTTTTCTTCGGAGACAGTAGACTATTCAGATAAATTTATTGGTTCACATTTATTTATTTATTTATATAAATTGGGTAAAAAAAATAACAATTTCAAATAATTTATATAATTAAGTTTTAATAATTTATTAATTATTTTTCTTAAAGATTTAAAATTAATTTTTAATTTAAATAAATAAGCATTTATTTTATACATAACATTAGGTAACAATAAAAAAAAAGGAAATACAGTAAATATAATGGTCATTTTTGACAATTTTGAACGTATGGGTGAGCCCAGGTTACTTTAAATTTGTTTGTGTCAGGCTACACCACATAAAACAAACAAAAAAACAAAAAAAAAAATTCTTTAATTTTGGTGAGTTCACATATTTTGTAAGTTATCCGGGTTAATCCCTTAGGTTCAATGCATTTTGACACTCCTATAGCATTCCTCTTTAACAAATAAGGACATTGTGCAAGAGGGTATGTTCAATTGTAAATTGAATACTACTTTGATAATGTTGTGAGTTGAAAAAGAATTTGTTGGTTGCTAATTATATTTAATAAACTCCCAAAAGATTTATTGTGCAATTAACGATGAATATATATATATATGGGTAATGTTTTCCTTCTTTTACATGACACAGGCAATCTTTCTACACAAACATAAAAGTGGGCCCATCAATTCTTTTACTTTTCTTTTATTTTAAAAATAGTGACCCCACAATCTCATGTCTCTATAACATGACCTAAGAACTTTCCTACAACATAATATTAGTTTTTCCCTATATATATATATATATATATATAAGATTTTATAAGGGTTATATTGTAGGAAAAGTGATTGTGTAATGTTATAGAGATTCGTTTTGCGTGCCGTAGTTTTTTTTTGTTTCGAAAAGTGTGGGCCCCACAAAATGTTGTGTGTGTAGGAAACTTTTTTATGTCATGTGAAATGATAAATGCAAACCCTATATATATATATATATATAGTTCACTTTTTCTATCATCAATGTAGATAACTTATCTACATTGAGCCCAAAACGACGTCGTTTTGTGGCAGAAATCAAGGTATTTTTGTAATTATAATTTATTTCAGGATTATAATAGTCTTTTTCATTATAGTTTTTAACTTTTTTACCCAAAACAACGTCGTTTTGGGTAGGGGTGTTCGCGGTCTGGATTGGATCGGTTTTGAAGCAAAAAACCATCCGATCTAATTCCTTCGGTTTGGTCATTACATCATCCGATCGGTTTGAATTTATTTTCAAATCCGATCCAATCTGATCCAATTTTTTTCGGTTTGGATTGGATCGGTTTTCGGTTTTTTGAAAAACCAAAAAAACAGAACTTATAAGAATTATTTTTAGAAAAATGAGTAGTATTATTTGTCATGGATCTTTTTGTATTGGTAGTAGCAGAAAATTTTGACAATACCGTAGTAATAAATCTTCCAAAATCACTAATAAAAAAAATTATTGATCGATGTTCTAATAAAAAAAAGTAATGAATTCTTTTACACAAATCACTGTTTTACTACTTATAAATTATAATGGATGCAAAAGTGGCCACTATGAACACTGGCCAAAACACAGCTTCTACAAAAAACTTAACCATGTATACTAGATTAACGAAAGTAATCCATAAATTCCATAACATAGTAAACTTAACACATAAAACTGAATTCTTCTTACCCATACCTAGATCATTGGCATGAATACTACATTAACAAAAAAAAAAATTGGTAGAAAATAAGTTTGGATCGGTTTTCAACATCCAAACCGAAAACCGATCCAATCCAGAAAAATATTTGCGGTTTTTTTCAGTTTTTGGTTTTTCGGTTTTCGGTTATTTCGGTTTTTGGTTTTTCGGTTTGGTTTTTGCGGTTTGGATCGGTTTATGAACACTCCTAGTTTTGGGAACGAATGCAAATAACTTATCTACATTCACTATAGAAATGTTAAAGCATATATATATATATATATATATATATATATATATATAAGATTTTAATATTTTTATTTTTATTTTATAATTTTTTTTCTATCACATTCATATAAAAGTGAATAAGTGTCATTATAATGAGAAAAAAGAAAAAAAGTTAATATATAATATTGAAATCTATTATGAAGAACTTAAGTGGTTCCCACTTCCTATCCAGAGCATCTCATTCCACCACTCTCCCCTGACTTCTATCCACTACAAATAATCATTCACTAAACATTGCATCACACCATTAAGTCACCAGCAAGCTATCCACTGGGGGCACAACCTCCTAGTGCATTTCATTTATATATAACCCTTTATAGCTAATAATGAGGGAACTCATCTGATAACCTATCTTAGTATTTACAAAATTTGCCACCATGGCTACAATCTATACATCTGTGCTCAGAGCACATCCTATCTACTAAGCAGATGACTCACACACAATCTATACATCTGTGCTCAGAGCACATCATATCTACTAAGCATATGACTCACACACAATCTATACATCTGTGCTCAGAGCACATCCTATCTATCTACTAAGCATATGTCTCACACACACCCATTGTCTGACATCTTTACCATAAGTTCCGTAGATACAAATACTAACTATCCTGCTAAACATTAATGTTCACTCTAGAACAAAATCCTTTCACTTTTATGAGTGAATAAGTGTCATTATAATATTTTTCATATATATATATAGGCTTATCATTTCTCAAGCTGTTTGAGATAATTTTATCTTCAGCTACTAAATCATAACCGTACAAAGATGAATTAATGGTAACAAAGAAAAAGACAAAAAATGAATCATAACAATTCAAAGGTGAATCAATTAATATAAGAAAATAAATAAATAAATAAAATGACGTAATTTTGGAGTGGCTGAAGATAAACTTATCTCAAGCTGCTTGAGAAATGTTTTTCCACACATATATATATATATATATTACAAAACACGCGCGCACTACCTTAATTTTATAAACTCATCTTAAAATGAGATTTCCTATTTTTTTGTGAAAATCTTAAAATGGGAATATAACCTTCGTCAATATTGACATTAAATTTTATTAATATTATTTAAATTATATAACTTTTGCCCTCTTTCGGGTGAGGGTTTTGAAAAACCCGCATCCATTCACTTTTATTAATATTTTTATAAAAATATGTTGATAAGAAATTAAAATTATATGGTCCTATTAATCTTACAATATTTTATAACAAGACAATTCTAAATGGTCGAAAGACACATTAGGAATTATTGCTATTGACATGACACCGAAATACTCTAGATACTAAAAATAGACTAAAAATTTTATTGGAAATGCAAACGGACAACACAAAATTAATTGTCAAATCCATGGTTGATATATTATATCACCTTCACAATATAAATAAAAATATTTGTTCCTTAATTCCTTTTGCGTAGATTAGATAAGGTTGATGAGTTTCTAGTAGCAAAATAGAACACAGAGTACGACCACTGACATTAAGCAATGATGTACTTAAGTAACAACACTCGCCCCAAAGAGGTTAAAAATTATATAATTTAAATAAAATTCATTTCTAAGAAGCAGCGGCGGGGACAGTAACAGGGTAGTCATGGACGGAATCATCCCACGGGTTGCCCCGCCAGTCCCCAACCACAGGCATGTCCCTCACCGCCTTCCACACGGCGCTGTTGCACTTGAAACCCGACCCGAATGCAATCTGCCAGATCCGATCCCCCTTCGCGACCCGACCCTTTGCCTCCGTGTACGCCAGCTCATACCACAGGGAGCTGCTGGACGTGTTCCCGAAGCGATGCAGAGTCATCCGAGACGGTTCCATATGCCACTCACTGAGTTGAAGGTTCTTCTGCAACTCGTCCAGCACCGCCCTTCCCCCAGCGTGGATGCAGAAATGCTCGAAAGCAAGCTTGAAGTCCGGAATGTAAGGCTTCACCCTCGACCCCTTCAGCAACTTCCTCCGAACCAACGACACGAAGAACATTAACTGCTCCGAAAACGGCAGAACCAGCGGCCCCAACGTTGTTATGTTTGTCTTCAATGCGTCACCGGCCACCGCCATTAGTTCCCTCGCCAAACACACCCCGACTTTCCCCGTGTCGTCCTCTCTCTGGTAAACGCAGTTGTAGTGCTTGTCGTCGGCACCCTTATGGGTTCGAACCGTGTGGACAAGCTGGTACTTGGACCGGACCCGGTCCGAGGATTTGTTGGAAAGGAGTATAGCGGCACCACCCATGCGGAAAATGCAGTTGCAGAGGAGCATAGAACGGTCGTTGCCGAAGTACCAGTTGAGGGTTATGTTCTCTGTGCTCACCACCACAGCGTAGGAGTTTGGGTTCGCTTTCAGAAGGTCCTTCGCGAGATCAATGGAGATAAGACCAGCGCTGCAACCCATGCCGCCAAGGTTGTAGCTTTTTATGTTGGTCCTGAGCTTGTAGTGGTTGACAATCATTGCAGAAAGAGATGGGGTCGGGTTGAACAAGCTGCAATTCACCACAAGAATGTCAATGTCTCTGGGGTTAACACCTGTTTTGGCAAAGAGATCATCCAATGCTCCGAACATAACGGCCTCTGCTTCCAAACGCGCTTCCTTCATGCACAGATTTGGTGGCTTCGACATGATTCCTCTCGATAGGTACGTCTCGTCTCCCAAACCGGCCCTTGTTGAAATTCGCCTCTGGAATTGAAGGCTCTCTTCCTCGAAGGCACCACTCTCCTCTGTCATTTTCAGGAACGATTCCACTGAGATTTTTCGCTCCGTCTCTGGCTTGTAACAGGCAAAGTCCACGAGGTAAACCGGCGTGGACCGCTTCGCCCAATACAGGCCGATGAGGAAGAGTAGAACGGCTGAACCGGTGACCGTATCAGGGTCGAGTTGGACCGTGCGGTTGGACCAAAATTGGGACAGGTGGTGGAGTTTGAGACCGGTTAGTTGAACCAAGAGGTACAGGAAGAGAGGGACTATGACGGCAAACATGAGAACGGTGGCAGCGTTGCATGTGTACCCGTACCCTAACTTAACATACTTGAGCTTCACCGACTGTAGGAAATCCGGCAACCGTCGCCGGATTTTGATGACGGCGGAGGATGAGTCCTTGAAGTCCATCTCAGCCGTTAATCTCTCCTTATCCATGTCTATGCTATCGCGACCCATTATTTTTTTATTTTATTTTTTCTCACCCGTGTTTTGTGTTTGTTTCTGTCAGCGTGTGTGCGAGAGAGAGAGGCTCGCTCTGTTTGAGTCTATAGAGCTTGTGAGGGACTTGCGTTGGTTTATAAAGGAGGGGACTGAGATGAACAATAATTACCCTCTTTGAAAAAAAAAACAAATGCGGCTATACTTGCACGCTACATGGGGCCTAGGATATTAACCGCAAGAAAGCTATTATTGTTTTTATTCGTGTGATTTAATTTTGGAGGAAGTAGTTTCAAAAAAGATGGATGGATAGCTCAACCACTTATAGAAAACCATCCTATTTTTAAAGCAACATACATATTATATACACATAATCTTAGCTGGATTTTGCGTTTTGTAATTTGTGTTCTTAATAATATATGTAGCGTGATTTGTATATAATCTTAGCTGGATTTTGCGTTTTGTAATTTGTGTTCTTAATAATAAATGTAGCGTGATTTGTATATAATCTTAGCTGGATTTTGCGTTTTGTAATTTGTGTTCTTAATAATAAATGTAGCGTGATTTGTATATAATCTTAGCTTGATTTTGCGTTTTGTGATCTGTGTTGTTAATAATAAATGTAGCGTGATTTTTATATAATCTTAGCTTGATTTTGCGTTTTGTAATTTGTGTTGTTAATAATATATGTAGCGTGATTTGTAGTGGATAGACAATTGAGATTTGAGACTATAAGAAGGGGACGAGAGGGTTTTGCTCAGTAATTTCTATTTGTGTTATTTTGCGTGTGCCTTTGAAATAAAAAAAATGGGGTAATCACACGCAAATGTGAACTGAAAAATATTAGTAGGGTCCAAGATGAAGATCACTAATGCGGGGAGAAATCGTGTATCAGTCAGCAAGGAAAAGGGAGATGGGGAAAGAGGGGAAATTTTCCTAAATTGATGGAAAGCCGGTAGTTGTTGGTGGCTGGTCGTCTAGGAACAATTAATGGTCTTGTGCTAATTTGTCAAAAGTTCAACCCCATTAAAAAAACTTGAAAATAAATAAATCAGTTTTGAGTTAAATGAATCCGGTCACAGGAACTTTTGTTTGCACTTAAAATTGATGATATTTACTGAAGATTCGATTTGTTTTTGTCTCTCTTTAGCAAAGGTCAATATCCTTCATCACTATCCAAAGATGTACTGAGGCAACAAAATTAAGGGGTATTAAGTGACTTCAACATGTTCACGGGGATAATAAGTCAATCTCTTTGTACTGCCATGTTTTTCTTAAAAGAAGAATTCATTTCAATCTTTTCAAAACAATCAAAACTGATAGGATACAGAAAGTAGGAGAGAGGAAACCAAACAAAACAATAATATGAAATGTAAGTAGCTGATCTAAATTATTAAACTGTTGCGCCGAATCCAGAAATGCAAGGAAGTTTGGTGGTGGATGGTGGAGCTAAGAAACTATTTGACTTTTCCGAGTAAAGTTGGTATATATTTATCTAAGTTGGTGGAGAAATGGTTTAGGCCAACAAATCGAAATGGCATAACCTAGTCTACCTAGTTTTACAAATTCATTCCTCAGTCAGCTCAAAACAGTAATACCTGCATTCCTACGGTTCAATGTCTCAGCTTATGTAATGTTACCCATTTTTTTGAGTTTAATTTTACAAAAGTTTTGGTATGTGGTTGAAATTTCAGCACACCGAGAGAATGGCAAAAAATAGCTCTGTTGAGATATATAGTTTCACGTTGATTGGTGGGAAATTAATATGGCATTTATAAGGCCTTGAGCACTCCTACCCTTGAGCTAGCTTTTAGAATGGTGTATCCCAAGATTCTTTACATAGTATCAGAGTCTCATTGTCCCCCGTTTTAAAAAGTGAAATTAAAATAAAAAAAACACAAGAAGGTAAACAAAAAATGGGTCTGTCTCTTGCGTGAGGGGGCGTGTTGAGATAAATAGTTCCACATTGATTGGATGAGAAACTAATATGGCCTTTATAAGGCCTTGGGCACTCTCACCCCTTGAACTAGCTTTTCAGGTGGTGTATCCCAAGGTTCTTTACACAAAATTAGAATTGGCCCCAATATTAGGATTAGATGTACCCAAGTGAATATATCAGATATATTAAAAAAAAATTCCCAATATTACGGGCACTGATCATAAAGTCCTCATTGGAAATTGCAAATCGTTGAGTCTTTATGCTGTCATGCTTCAATTCCTTTTTCAACACGACTTACATGCTGAAGCCATACCTGAGGCATGTAGCTCACCGACCTCGTTCAACTGCTCTTGCATTTCGGATTTGGTTGACCACAAAGTATACATTTTACGGTCATTGGTTCAGCTAATATGTTAAGACTTGTGCAGCATTTAATTTCTTTAATATAAATTTGATAATCTTTGATAAAATAAATATAAAAATCACCTGCTCATATTTTTGCGAGTTACAAGCGCTAGTATAATGAATCTTGAATCTGTTAAAACTCACCCGTCTGATTTTTTTCATTTTCGATTATCATCTCACACTTTACTTTATGAAGTATATTTTTGACTTAATTGTTGGGCATCAAATGCTGAAAACAGGTGTATTAGGATTGAGCATGTGATGTGATAGATTATAATCAAGTTTATCTTTGGTGATACGTATATATTTAGTTTCAATTCTAAATGGAGTAGAGGTGGTAAACCGTTGTCAAAAGGGATGAAAACAACATATCCTTGTAGATGCTGGCTTGATCCCTAAGGTAGGACCCTTTGAACTGGCAACTTGACAATGGTCCCTCTAAACGTACCGCAATGGATTTATGTACTTAGTTAGCAAGTGAGATTAAAGCTTTTGGGTCCCATTCTCGTATGTGTATATGGTGACATAGACAGGGAGTTTCGCCCATCACATCACATTTGAATCTTGCTTTTCCAACTAGAAACTGATTCAATCAATGTTTTTTTAAATAATGGCGTTGATAATCAATGTGGTCCGTGGTTGGTTCCAATAAATCAATCAAAATAATCATGTGGTCGGTGTTTATCATGTTTTCCAAAGTTATTTTTAATACAAAATTTATCATTTTTTTTTAAATTCTTATTCTGTAAAATAATTTTAAAACATAATTTATCAATTAAAAATTTTCAAAATTAAAAAAGAAGAAGATATTTTAACATTGTTTGAATTTATTTATTTATTTTAAAAAAGCCATAGGAATAGAAAAAATATAAAAGAAAATTTGGGAATGAAAAAAAAAATCTTCACAGAGTTAACCCTTGGCTAAGGGTGTAAATGAGTCCTGCGAATCTACGATCCGACTTATGTCATGTCAATTTTTTTTTTTCTTTTGATACAAGTCAGACCAAATTTAACATAGTATATTTAATAAAATAGAATACACTTAAATCTTAAAAATAGCTCATTCAGAAAATATGTCATATGTCTAGTTTTACAAGGTCTAGTCTATAAGCATATAGGTCGATCGATATTATATATTTATTTTAATTAAAATAAAATATATATTTGATAATTTTAATTAACAAAATGATATTATTATATTTATTTATTTTAATTCTTAACAAATATTGAAGGGTTAAATAGGTTAACAAATCTAGGTCAAATCTTTTGATTCTTTGATATAAGTCAAGCCAAACATATAATTTAACTTACACCAGGTTAACAAATTCTATCAGTTTCAAAATATTTTGCATAAACCTAATTTATTTATATCAAAATCTATCTGACCATCCATTTACATCCCTAGCCATGGTCAAGTTAAGTTTGAACCAAATTAATCGAATAATTGTTGGACTAGTTAAAAAATTATAAAATATAATTTATTTATAACTTGTTTTTGTTTTAAAAACTTATTATCTATAATTTATATTTAGGGGTTTTACTTCTCTAGAGAGAAATTATTTTATATTAAGAGACATCTTTTTATGTGAGTGTATTATAAAAGATAAATCTCATGCAACATAATAATATAATTTTTCTTTATTTTTAGAATAAAAAACATAAACATTTGTTCAGTTATCCCTGCTGTCATTTGAAATGACAAGATTGTTGTGATTACTAAGGCTGCCAGAGCATCATCAAATTTTAAAATTTTATTCTGAAAATAAAAGTTATCAAATAAGAGTTTTAATTGTTTATTAAAACAGTTATATGAAAAAATTTCCAAAAACAAAAATAAAATCAAACAGACTCTTTTATTTCGTAAAATAAATCTTAAAAAAATACATCAAATAATTTTTTTAAAAAGTTGAAAAAAAAAAACAATAACACAATTAAACAAGGCCTTAAGCCCTTAACTTTTCTTTTTGGGTTATTTTTTCTCTCTATAGGACATCGAAACAGACTCGATTTAGCAAGAACCACAAGAAGTGCATTGCACTAGAAACTGCAGCACAACAAACGAACTACGAATCAATGAAGAAATGACCCTAATATGATTGTCCTTCAGCTTGACGCGGACAGAGGTGTAAATAGGTCAAAATGTGTTCTTTCATATCATATAGCACATGGCATGGGGAAATAGAGGAAAATGATACCTAATTCTTCATTTTTTTTCCCTTTCAATATGCCACAATATATGTCTTGCAACCCTGATGACAAGTTTTTGTGGAACTGGTATGAATCAGAATCAAAGATGGGGTAGCATGTCAATCACAAGAGAACTTGGATCCGGAAATGATGACATTGTTCTTTCCTTGTAAAACAAAGGAAAAGAGACAAAGAAAGAAATGTAAAACTTAGAGCTTGTTTGAATACTTTTTTAAAAATACCTTTTTTTTATACCAAAAAAAAAAAAAAAAAAAAACTTGTTAGATAAGTCCTGTTTTATAAAAAAAAAAAATTATAACTTTTTTTATTTTTTAAATCAAATTTAAAAAACATATCTAAATTACTTTTGTTTTGTGTTTCAACTTTTAACTTTAAAAAAAATAAAATAAAAAACACCTATTTTATTAACTATTCTACAAAATAATTAAAAAAATATAAAAATAAAACACAATCAAATATACTCTTAATAATTTTCATTTGTTAACTTAACTAGACACAAAGGTTCAACCAAACTGAGCAGTAGTAAGAAACCCAAATGAATTAAACTTGGGTTGCAGATTTCCAAATAT